TGGCAAAACCATCATCAACCTTACTATTTTACAAGATTACAAATCTTTGTAAAATTCCATAAAATCTCAAAGAACCATCTGGTTTCTTTTTTTGAGAAGGTTCATACCATATGTCCTGTATATTCTTAAGTGAGGAATCCATTGTTTCTTCATTTTGGGCAGAGAAACTGTAATGCTACTCAATAATTCGGTCTAACTATAAAAGTAAACTCATTTCCTTCCACTGACGAGTCAGTCATGATTGATTTAACCGCCAACGCAATGACACTAACATTGCCAAACTTGTAAATGCAATTTATCATATCTGCCATTTAAAATTACAATATTTGAGCTAAAATTCTCATACGTATACCAACATATATATATAAAAATATCAATCTTGGTTCTTTCCCAAGCAAACAAATCTGAGAATGTCTTTCTGTTTTGCTTCAGTTGTTCATAATAAAATAAATACAATGTCTTTGGCATATATATTGGTATTAGACTCGTTAAATAAGGTGTTGATATGATAATATCAAATTCTTTAAAAATGCTGACAAAAGGGAAAAGCAGCCTGTCCACTGATGGTCGGCAACTGTGTAAATATATTGGATTTTTACAACTGGTTTTGGTGTTTTCTTTTTGTGTGTGATTCAATTCTAAGTATTACCAGTTATAATGAAATTATTGTCATATTAAGATAAATTAAAGTCACTATTTCAAAAAAGAAAGATTATTTTTAAATAGTAAAACAGATTTTTATCTGTAAAGTTGTATAATTTTTAACTGTATAGACCTAAGAATAATTTACTGAAAGATTAAAAGTACTTGTCAAATAAATATATTTATGCTAATTATCAAAGTTTGTTTTTAATCACTACAAAATAAAAGATTAAGGCAGAATTTTATGTAATATAAAACCTAGAAATTGTCCTTCTAGTAAAAAACTAATGTACTAAACTAGATGTACTAACTGAGAAAAACTTGCAGAAATGAAATTACTAAATGTTTTCAAAAGAAAAGACCAATCTCCAGAATATTTCAAATACAAAATAAACTTAATAATCAATACTAGAAACATGAACAGAGATCTTATAATTTGGAATTAGCTTTCTGTCTAATAAACAAAAGCTGCTTGATTAAGATACCAAAAAAATCATTTAATTAATTTAATACAAAATGTTCTATTTCAATTTCTATTTTATGCTGAGGATGGTCTAAATTGAGGACAACAAACATTTCATATTAAGCAATTTTTGATAACCTTTATCAAACAGATGATGTTCATTGAACAGTACAGTGCTAAGTTTCACATATTTTTGTTTTATCAAAGTCAAAGTATCTATTATAGACAAATGACAAAAGTAAAGTACAAATATAATAACATTTTTTAAAATCAATTATTATTCTATTATGGTTATTTATACATTTACAACTACAAAACGCATTTTTCAGTGTTTTCCTTANTTTTCCATCAATGAAAAAAAATATAGAAATAGCACCACCAGGAATTGATAAATTGTCATAAAATTTTTGAACAAGTGGGCCAAGCTATAACCTGTGAATATAAAATCATAATCTTTTAAGAAATTCCAAAATGCTTACAAAAAATTAAATCTAATTAAATATTTCAAAAATAAAAACGAGTTCTAAAATGAATGACAAAAAATTGCTCCTACAATATTTCCATGTAATCTAGTAGGGAGAGAAAAAACCACTGAAAATTCAGTATCTTCATAATTTTGTCTTCCTCATATTTTAGAAACAACCGTGTCACATAGTGAAGTTTATGTTTATTTGGAGGCTCCTATATTTAATTATAATTATGAAATTACAATTAATTTTTATTAAATGTAATTTTATAATTATACCATTACCAGTATGCTTATAGACAAAATTTGCAGGTTGAGGCAGAGGAGCACCTCCAAATAAAGGTTGACTCTGCTCTTTGCTTTTGATGTGTAAGAAGAACAAAATTGTAAGATACTGAATTTTAAAATATTTTTCTACATTTTAATTCAAAAGTGAATTATAATCTTGGTTTTTAGCTTTTATTATTCTAGCTATTAACAGTATATTGAAAACAAAATAAAACGTTTTATGTAACAGCACTAGTTAATATATACTAAACTTTTAAAATAAAATAAGAACTTACAGTACCAAGTTATTTAAATTATCCCTATCATAGTGATTCTTGGATAGTTTTTTAAACCTGTTTTAAAACAGAAAAAGATCTTTCTCCCAAAATATTAGAAACAGACAATATCAAACGAGCAATTATTTATTGTGACATCATCACAATGCTGGGCTGCAATTTAAAATGTATGCTCTCCACCTCAAATTACTGTAGTAGTGTAGAGTCTTGCCCCTGTACATCATACTTTTCCTTTAACAATAGTCATGCCAGTCATCTATTAACTGCTTTCAGATGAAAGTTTTTAATTGAAATAACATGACTTTCAATTTGTATTGGAAGTTTGTATATAGTTAATCGGGTCCTCCTGCCTCTAAGGTTTCCATATCTGGTCTCGTCTTTCATCTAACTAACTCCATTCTTGAGATTAAGGAAAGACAGATGGGCAAACAACAGTGGAAATTTATAGGTCTACAATTTTTTCAAATTGCAGCCCAATTAAACACAACAATTTTTGAAAAACTTTTTATATAACTTCTACATTCAGAAAGGTAAAGTTCAGAATTAATGCACTTTTATAAACATTAACTGCAATACTTTTTTTATATTTGTCTTCCTTCAAAGATAAAAATATTGTGCTAATTAAATCTTCAAAATGGTTAATATTTGCATCATTTTTGTAAATATTTCTTAAAATGTTAATATAATTCTATTTCATATCATCCACTAAATTGAAAACAACAAATATCTTAAATATTCTATTGTATCTTCACATATATTATTTCTTCTAACAAGATTTGTTATCATGTTGCAAATAAGTAAAAACAAGCATTGAAATGAAGTACTGTAGTCAACTGAGAAAATGAAGATTCTTTGCCAATAGCATTGAAGAATTCTCATTTTGACTATTCAAAAAAATTTCTTTTGCTTGACCTTAGTATTTCTTTGTTAAAAGTTGAATAAATCATTTTGTTAGCTCCTTCTTTGGCATTTTTAAATTTATTATGGAGTTTCAATAAAGTTCTCCAATGATTTCAATAATGGAGGACTTTTAAACAGGATGCAACAAAGACGTTTTAATAGATGTTCCTAATTCAAATTTTAGGTTGCCAGCAAACCCCTAACTATGTAATTATTACATTTAGTGATAATTGTATAACTATTAGATATATGTTTATCAATGTACAGTGGTACCTAATTCAAACTTCAAACTTAAATCAGATGCCTTATTAGGCATCTAATTGTGTTATTTTTACCTTTAATTATACATATTTGCTGTTTTAAGTTTATTGAAATGGGAAAGCAATAAATATACCTGAAAATAAATTTATTCAGTTACTGATTTATTGCTTAACATATGGCATGGATGTCTCATTTCTTATTGATAATGACCATCTCTATAAATAAATGAAAATATAAAAACTGTCTATTGGCATTACTGGTAAATACATTTTAATGCCAATAGACAGTTTTTATATTTTCATTTATTTTTAGTAAGTGGCATTGCTTGTTTATATCTCATGACCATTGCTATTATTTGTCATAGTAATTTTAATTTTAAAAAATTTATTTAAAATATTCAACTTTATTCTCAAGCAATTTAAACATAAAATCATAAAAGAATTTCTCAGTAAAAATTATATTTTTTTGTTTAATAAGGATTTTTCTTTGAGGCCACCATTGAGTGCATGGTTCCTGGCAGCCATCAGATTTGACAGGCCTCTTTATAAAACCTTAAACACAATATTCAACAATATCAGAATAAGATAATTAAATGGTTCAGTCACATGACAAGAAGGAAACTGAATAGACAACCCAATATGAAATTATATAAAGTAGAACAAAGGAAAAAATAAGCACAATTGTCCTAGGATTAAATGGATTAATTGTATAAAAAATATTGCAGGACTGCAGATATTTACAGAATTTTTTATAGCAGTAAACAATATAGTGTAGAGGTCAGTTATATCAAAAATTCTTAACCCAGAATGATATGATAAGACACAAGAGAAAGAGATGTAAACCTACCACTACACATTATTATTAATATTTGATAATGCAACAAAAGAATAAATACAAAATTACAATAAATACTAAAAGCAATTAAATCTAGTCAATTAATTATATTCAACGTATATTACTGTAATATCACAATAATAAGAAAAAGAGTTTTCTATCCAAAACATTTTAATCAGTCCCTCTTATGAATGTCATAGATTTATTTATTTTAAAGATTAAGTCTTTTATAAAAATATATTTTCCTTAATACATTAATAAAAAAAAATGAAAGCATAATCAAAAGTTCAAAAATTTAATTACATTAATAACAATTCCTTGAATTAATACAATAATTCCTTTCTAAACTTTTTAATAATTATTTTATTAAAATTACTTCTTTAATTTACATCATTACTAATTTTTCTTTTGTTAAGATTATTAAACTATTCTTATTTTTTTTTTAGACAGCTATCAGTTTAAAATTGTTAAAGTATAGTGAGTTTTAATATGAAATTAAAAATTAAATATTCAAAATTGGTTTTTAAATTTTATTTCTGATGACTGTAAATAAAAAATAAGGCACACTAAAGTATTATTAAAAATGTATTTAATTAAGATAATTATAATATATCATAAAAACTAAATATTTAATTATTCAAATAATTAAAATTTCATATAAATTTGTAGAATGTTTATTATATTTAAAATGCAATCCTGTAATTTAATGAATTTTTTTTCTTTGTTATCTATGAGAATTTCCTTTATAAAATTTCATTTAATTTTTCAAAATCACTTTTTTCTGTACAGTACAACTCTTTTAATTAAAAAAAATCATTCTATTTAAGAAAAATACTAATAAAATAATAAAAATATAAATAAAAATAATTACTTGAAGAGCATTTTCTAGTTCATATACATATCAGCACATCACCTACTAAGATTAGAAATAGCAAAGTTGTATTTAGTAGTTTCAGTATCATTAATTATTTATAATCAGTTAATGATTATATTATAATAACAATTACTATCATTTGAAAAGTAATAAAAATTATAGAAAGCATCAAATTCATATATTCATTAAACAAAATTAACAATGAAGATAATTTAAAATTATGATCTTGAAATAAATTTTTCTTCTTCATTCATTTAAATTACAAATTGATAAGATAATAACTATTATATCCTATAATCCGTAATACAAAATAATTAAACATATATTATTTATCATTGTTTATACATTTTAATTATTAAAAGTAAAATACAGATATTGATTTAATTACAAGTTATAACACAGCTATTAATAGACATGGTTCCTATTTTATAGATTGCCAGATGGAGCCACATGCGAGTTTACTAATACATAAAACATAACTATTATATGTATGTGTATATATATACATATATATATACATATTTAATAGTTTTGATAGTTTTAATAGTTTAATTGTTAATAAGTTGCTAATTTCATTGCATTAAATGAAAGCCAAATTATAAAATGTATGGAATTTTTATGATTTACAAAACATTATATGTGAAAATTATTATTACAACAAATAATAATAAAAATATATATGTTAGCATTGAAAAAATTCTACAATTTCTATATTACAAAACATTATATAAAATGAGTATAGAAATACTATATGAAAAATTTTCAGCTAAACTAAAATCTAGTAGTTATTTCTGTGATAGATAATCTATCCCATTTAGAAATCTAAAATTTAATATAGAAAAAGTTTATTTTAATCAGAAAATAATAAATATAATTATTTCATCACTCAAATCTACATTCAATGTTGTCAGATCAATGAAAAATTCTTTTGATTAACTTCCAAATAGAATTCTTTAAATGAGGCAAATTTTCAGTTTTAAGATCTATCAATTCTAACAAACTTTTTCTTTATAGAAATATAGAAAGTAACATCTGTATATTTCATCTTAAATCATAATATTCTAAAAACTGTATTTTTTTATAGCCCATAAAAAGAGAGCATTCAGGAATTTTTGTATAAATTGTTCTCCTAATAATGCATTATTTACTATATTTTTAACTCAAAACAGAAAATAATAATAATGATGTATATTTAATAATGATAATAATTTTCTACAAAAAGATTGTTGTAAGAACTATATGCAAATGCAAAGAACAATTATTCATAGACTCAGTTCTTCTACAAGCACACAAACCTACTTAGGTTACAGGAAAGCATTTGACTGCATCCCATATTCATGGTTACTAATAAACACATTAGGCTTACACAAAATACATTCAACACTTATTGCATTTCTAAAAAAACAATGCAATACTGGAGAACAACACTACAGATCAAACTTCACAACACATGCATTAAAACAAAGCAAATACACATAAAGTCAGTATTTTCCAGAATTCTTAAGTTCATTTTGGTTCTGTCTGGCATTAAACCCATTGTTCAATAGGTTAAACAATACTACATACAAAACATCAAACAATAAAACAGTACAACACACATTATCTCACCTCATTTACATGTACAGTACTTATAACATAAAGTGCTATGCATCTGCACAAGCACAGCTAAATCACCTATTAGATATTACACGCACACTAGTGACATTCAAATGGAATTTGACCTAGACAAATGCAGAATACTGTACTTCACATAATAATAAAGAAAAGGAATCCTAAAGAAAGGTGATTTCTTACTCAGAAATGGAGACATCATTGAATCCTTGGATGAAGGTGAAGTCTATAAATATTTAGGATTCTAACAGGACAGACTCACAGAACATGCACAAATAAAACAAAGACTAACAAAAAATACAACAACAGGTCAAACTCAATACTAACAACACAACTGAATGCAAAACACACATTTGAAGTTATACAGTACAGACTCATTTGAAGTTATACAGTACATACACAGAACTAGAACAATGCTAAGGAAAAACACAAACATTAACATAATATAACAGTCGTCATCCTAAGTAAGGCCGACTCTTCCTCATAAAGTGAAAAATTGAGACCTTACAGATATAGTACATTTTCATCACAAACAAATAGATATTGTGAAACATTTTTCTACAAAAAACAATAAACATTGCAATTATGTAAAGCTGCAGCTTCTATACAGAATAATAATACACCACCAAACCTATACAAGAATATAACAACCTTTTTAAGTGTGTGTGTAAGTAAGTTTAAGTTCCCAAATCTATGATGCAAAATTTTCTCATATACAAACCAAAAATTTTTGAAAGAATATTACTATTTAGTGTGACAGCTAAACAATTTAATAGGAAAGCTAGATTTAGAGATTTTTCCACTAAATTGAAAATCCTTCTTATAAGTTAGTATGAATAATCAATGCAATGCAATGTTAGTTACTGTAAGTCAGTATATTGCAGAGATAGACATCTTAGAAATAAAATGTTTGTTTCATTTTCTTATTATTTATTATTACTAAAACAGTTGATAGGGTTTGTTTCTTTATTGCATTTTTATTTGGTATTGCTCTACTCAATAAAATTGCATTCTATTAAGTTAAAATATACAACTCAGCAAAGATGTTAAATATTTATTTTTTACAGTGAGATTTGAGTTGTGCCAGAAAAAATCATTGGCATGCTAAATTTGACACACATGCCAAGGGTTACCTATTGAAATAACCTATTCCTCACCTATACAATACTGATCTGGATCTAACATAAAACACACAGACATCATCATTAGGATACCTACCACAGTGATCTTTCTGTGCTCCAAAGTAGTCACTCTAACAATCTTAACCATGATCATGTTGACACAGAACTCTCAAACTGCTGGTTTGCATCGGAAGTTCGTATATAATTAATCAAGGCCTCCTGCTCCTAACGTTTCCGTATCTGGTCTCGTCTTTCATCTATCTAACTCTGTTCTCGAGATTAAGGAAAAAACAAATGGAGAGAGACAGATGACAGTGGACATTTATAGGTCTACAACTTTTTCAAATTGTTTTCAGCCCTATAATTTGTTTCCATTATCTCTTATCATTTATCTGCATTATGAAAAAAATCCTTCATATTAAAATTGAAATTCATATTCATGTGAAACGAATCATTTTAGTATGAATTATTTTTCTCACACTAAACAAAAAATAAATTACATATATATATATGTTATTTATAATATAATTATTTGATAGACACTTTTATCTATACAAAGTTTAGGAAGTCCTCTCTCAGTATTTTGTTATTTATTTCATTTATTTTATAATTACATCTACAATCAAGTGTAAAAAAAAACAATGTTTTAATGTTTGAGAAGGTATCATACCTTCTAAACTGCTTATCAATAAGTGTCACACCTTCAATGGTTGCTGCAGAGGCACGAGGCATATGTAAATGAAAACAAAAATCTAAAACTAGCACAAATTACTTTGAAATGGTACAAAGTAAATACAATCAAAAACCAAAAATCCAGTAGTTTGGTTTTTTATATGTATTTATTTTGAAGATATCCAGTTAAAGGAGGTAGTAATCAAAATAGTACTTTTACTAATATTTCTGTCTGTAACAGACATCTTCAGGTAAAATACATAGAACACAGAACTAAACAAATAAATTAAAATCAAATACAATTTTTTGAACAAATTACAAATTCAGTTTAAAATAATTTTAAACTGAACTTCTGTTAAGATTTGCAAGATACATTCTTGGACTCACTTCCTTCTAGTGAGTTTCAACATGAAATGGTAACTCTCAAAGATGAGGCCAGAAGCAATCACAGAAGAGCATGTGAACTGTGTGACTAAGAACAGATCCATGTGTAACATATAAAGACAGAATTCAATTTAGGCATTGATTGGCATCTGTGCACAAGACCTTACATAGAGAGCTACATATCAGGAAAGTATTGAGTTGATAGGTTCTACATTTCCAATCAAACCAATAGGAGCTACATCATCCAAAGTAAAGTTTCTGAAATTTTGTGATTTTGGATTTCCCAGAAATCAAACAACATTGAGTAGCTCCCAAGAAATGTTGGGATTTGAAAATTGTTTTATTTTTATTTTAAAAGTACCAGTATGTATTGTAATTTCCTTTGTGCAAGAGTGGGAATTATATATACATTGTTACAAAACTTATCCCACTCAGTAAAGATAATGTAAACCTAAAAATGACACTCTCTAGACTCACTACTCCTATCTCATGGGTTATCAGTTATCGAGAAGTTTTCACCTCTGAGCATTTCAGTATATACACATGAAGAACTACTGATAGTACCTTGATTTCACTTTCTCCTCCTTTTCACTTGGTTAGGGAGCCACCTCTGACACAATGTTCCAAAGAGAGTCTGATCCTTTCAATATATATCCTAGTGGCATGCAATACTTGGGATAAAGAATTCCTTTCTTCCTGTTCCCATACATGCTCTCTCCTTGATTACTAGTCCTCCTTGAACAATTTCCTAAGCCTGCTTGAAGGTTAAGTCCAAAGAAAAGCCCAAAAAGGAAAGGAAAAAGATGGCCACCACACCATTTTTTTTGTTTATATATCTTCATAATTGTCATCTTTTCTTTTCTTCCAATCAGGGTGTGTCCTGAACAATGGTACAGTCGGACTTAATCAGACTCTCACTACGTAGGACAAGACTGTTATTGCCTCCAGCAATAAGTATACAAGAGGTGTTATAAAACCACAGGGTGAGAACACCACAATAAATAACACAAATTTTGGATGGAAGTACCACACTATAAACCAAAATATCTACCCTATAAATGACAAATACTTAGTTTAAAATCATAACTAATATTTTTCCATCAATGAAAAAAAATATAGAAATAGCACCACCAGGAATTGATAAATTGTCATAAAATTTTTGAACAAGTGGGCCAAGCTATAACCTGTGAATATAAAATCATAATCTTTTAAGAAATTCCAAAATGCTTACAAAAAATTAAATCTAATTAAATATTTCAAAAATAAAAACGAGTTCTAAAATGAATGACAAAAAATTGCTCCTACAATATTTCCATGTAATCTAGCCATTATATTTATCTTTGTTTGAATAATATTAATGCCAGTAAAATTCGACAGAAATTATCAAAATATTTTAATCTTTTGTAAATTTGTAAATTTTATGGATCAGCACAAAATCAAATGGGTTAATACAGACAATATGGTAAAAAAATGCTTAATTACAACACTTTTATAATATAACATAGCAAAAAGTAGCTGAAATGTTTGTTTATTTTAAAATTATCAGGTGGATATTAAGATTTGATGATAAATTGATATTGTGTCCAGTTATATGTGCTACTAATATATAGTATGAGGACTTATTACTTCCTTCTTATAAGTTAGTATGAATAATCAATGCAATGCAATCAATGTTAGTTACTGTAAGTCAGTATATTACAGAGATAGACATCTTAGAAATAAAATGTTTGTTTCATTTTCTTATTTATTACTACTAAAACAGTTGATAGGGTTNCTTTTCAATGCTTCAAAAACCTAGATCATACTATATGCACATGTGAAGGATTCTTTGCGTTTTTGCAATAACTTTTGTAAACCATGTATTTGCATTTTTTTACCAGATGCTCATCCTCTAGTGTTTAAAAACAAAAGTATTTTATATGGGTCGTTTGAATCATTCTTGTGTATTGTCAAGAGTAAAGATGAATAGCAACAGGAAAAGCAAAGCTTTTGAATTGAATTCCAAATTTCAAAATCACACGGGAGCCCAATATGAGTTTTAATCCATTCCCAGATGAAAACAGATGATTATTCGGAAATCAGAATTCAAAGAAATTCATAAGTGTAATTGATGTAGAGTAGATTTGACTACTAAGAATTGGCAAAAAAGATTCCCAATTGTCCAGCTTTACACGAACAAATTATTTTGTCGATTTTACAAGATTTTTCCTTAAAGTTTAAAATGACAGTAATTTTTGCGGGGCAATGTGTGCATTTATGTGCATTTAATATTTAATTTGTGATTAAATGAAATAAAATTAGAATTGTATTAATAAATCTAATTTTCTTTATTTTGATCATTAAAGTCACACCTCATCCTATATGCGAGTAAATATAGTAAATTTATTAATAGAATTTTATAAATTTTTTATTAAAATTTGAATCTAGTAACAAAATAAATTTATGTTACTTTACTACATAAGATTTTGTTTGTTAAACTCTTATTAACTTAGGAAGAGAGAACTTTTCTATTCTAACATATAAAAAATCATGTTGGGTGTCACTTTACTGCTTTTGTGACAATTGCATTGCCTATAAAAAATTAAATTAATTAGTCAAAATTATTTCAAGGATTTGAAAAGTTTGATATAGCTACAGAAAATCAAAAATGTCATTAATATAGAGAGTTAAACATTCGATGTTCTCCACAACTTAATTCATATGTGATGTATTATGATCATGTTAAAATTAATATATAATTTATGGTAATGTCATCATATTCATTATAATTTTTATCTTGTAAAATATTTTTTTTTCAAGCTTTAATAATAAATTATCCTAATATTGATATTACAGTTTTATTACATAAGATATATTGGGTTCATAATATTCACAATAAAAACACAGAATCAGTCTATCTTATAAAGGCCTGTTTTTATCTTCTTACACATTTATTTAAGTATACAGTACTTAGTCATATTATCAGTGATAAAACTGCAATGCCAAATTTTATTTTAAGCTTTTATTTATATTTTCCAATTATTATTATTATTATTACTACTACTACAGTACTACTGTTTTTTATTAATTTTTTTGCATTATCTGTAAATTTATTCTGAAAATTTCCTATTAGACATCCATGATCTTTTTATGTTTCTTAATTGTTTAAAAAATACTCTAAAATATGTAATAAGGTATTAATGTGTTTATAGATGATTATAAATGAAAGAGAAATTGATAAATCTCTATTTAAGACATATTTAGCCTTTCTCATTAAAATCATTAGGATTAATCAATAAATCAATGGCTTGACCTTAATTATTCAATTTCGATACTGTATTTTTGTGACAATGGTAAATACATCCTGTGGAGAACACGGAATGTTCAATTCTCTATATTAATGACATTTCTGATTTTCTGTAGCTATATCAAACTTTTCAAATCCTTGAAATAATTTTGACTAATTAATTTAATTTTTTTATAAGCAATGCAATTGTCACAAAAGCAGTACAGTGTCACAACATGATTTCATATATTAGAACAGAAAAGTTCTCTCTTCCTAAGTTAATAAAGATGTACTGTACCTGAACCAATTACAGGTGTTGGAGAAAAGACTAATAAAATCGTAAACGTTTTCAAACCTTACTAGTTCTTCTTCGAATGAAATGTAAGCGAGAGAACGTAGAATGAAAAATGGAACCTTTTCATTCCATTTTTCATTCTACATTCTAAGTTTGAAAACGTTTACGATTTTATTAGTCTTTTCTCAAACACCGGTAATTGGTTCAGGTACGTGTTGATTTCGTCTCAGTGTTTTGTGAACGAAGAAGTTTACTAAGTTAATAAGAGAGACACTTTATAAAATATATCTTTGAACTTTAATTTTATTTTGTGAACTGAATTTTCTTCTACTTTCACTTTCCTATTAAATCTAATATGTTCATAGTAATTCATTTATCAGAGATTTCATTTATTCACATTTTATCTAAGTTACATCATTTAAGTTATTTTTACCTAAAAATATGGAACATAATCTATAATTGTTCATTTTGATTAGTAAGGTAGCAAAACACAATTAAAGAATAACTAAAATGAGCATAAAATATAATTTTTATTTAAAATATATTTAAATAAAATGATATTATTAAATACAAAGAATTATGAGGAAAATTTATCAATATAATATCAAAAGGTATTAAGATTGATATATCAATATAAGCTTCTGCTACAGACCTGTGATAACAAAACTTTTTCTGAAGGTGGGTCAAAATTGAATTCAGAACTTAGCAATTCCAAATTATAAGTCAAATGTTTAATTTGAGTAATTAAAAAAAATAACAAAAAATATT